TACATTGCTGCTCTAGGTTGTCCGAAAGGCATTCGGCTTTTTCGGAATCATCTATATAGTCCGCCAGTAGGCGGTGTGCGATGGCTCGAAATCCTCTAATAGAGTGTCCCACTCGGTTTTTTCGGTGTTTCGATCTTTGACTTCTGAAGGCGTCGAAGTAGGGTTCGGGTCGATTCTGATCGGTATCGGTCGAAAGCTCGTTTGGCTGCATTTTTTGTCTAATTAGCAGTCACAGGTCGGGTGGCAAGTTAAAACCGTCGGTCGCCCGACAGTTTCACTGTTCGTTCCGAATCTGCGACTGCGGAAGTGATAGATATGCGAAGACTTGCTCGATTTGCGTCATCGAATGTGGCTATTGTCTCGGGTAGGTTGACGATGTGCTGGGGTCCAAGTCCTTGAGTTTGACCTCAAGACGATGCCAGTCCACTACTTGCCCGGAGTATTCTCGGCAGAAGAGCAAGAGCAATAATGTCATAAAATTAATAATGTAGAAAACATCATATATTGAAGCATCGGCTAGCTTTCCTTTTGTAAGAAGATCCTTTGCTGATATTGCAAGGATTAATCCACCTAATCCTCTTTCACAAATTCCTTATCCTAGTCCAAGCTCCCATATTCCTTTAGATACTTCTAACTTACGTTATAAAAAAACTCAAGACACCCATACAAACCTTCCTCTACTTTAGGCTATGATAAATCCATTCATCAATCCATAGTAAAACCTCAGCCTCTTCTTTATGTAATGGCTGTGCCTTAGTAGAGAATACTAATAGTTTCCCTAATGAGAAAACTATGTGAACTTTTAATCTCAATGCTTATTAGCATGATATCTCGTTTTTCGGATACTGAATTTCCATTTATTTTACGCCAAAAACTTACTGAGCTTAATTCTTTAACATGTAACATTCCCAATAATTCTACAATGGAACTGCCGCAGCATTAGAAATAAAAAAAAAAATTAATTAGTATGCCTTATAAATAAATTTGCCATCCAGAGACATGGCTAAAACTGGGTTCTCATTTTCGAATTTCTGGCTATTCATGTCTCCGGGATGATAGAAATGATGGTCATGCCGGTTCCTTAATCCTAGTTTCAAGAAAAATTCCCCCTCATTGCCCATCTTTCAATGTTGTTGCGATGAAGGCTTATTTGATATTTGCTTTGTATCTATATACATTCCAGAATCCAAAGTCCTTCCTCTTCAATCCTCCAAGATCTTTCCTTTATATTTTCTGCTCTTTCTCAGCCCATTGTAACCTTAGGAGATTTTAATGTTCATCCTACATCATGGGGTTTTCACTTCTGTGATTCTTTGTCCATTCCTTTTCTAGATCTTTTAAATGATTCAGATCTGTGTTTCCTCAATGATAGTTACCCTACCCGGCAAACAACACCATTTCAAAATGTAAATAACTCTGTAGATCTCACCCTTTGTTCTCCAGGAGTGTGCTCTCTCCTCTCTTGGAATGTTTTGTCGTCATCGTCGTTTTAAATATAATATTTATAAAGCAAATTATTCTTTATATTCTTCTCTTTAAGATCAACAGATTTCATCTTTTCATCCAGTACAAGAAAGTAACTTTCTTATTATTTATAATGAACTTAAAAACTTTATCTTTTCTTCTGCAAGTCAATCCATCCCTCAAAAGAAACCGTTTAAAAATATGCCATCTCCTCCATGGTGGGACCTGGACTGCACTATGGCTTGCAAACTTCGTAAAGAAGCTTAATCTAAGTATTTTTTTTTCTATGACAAAAAATCAAACACAAATAATCCTGCCTATATACAAACCTGGCAAAGATCGAAATGATGAATCTGGATATCGTCCTATAGCTCTGTCGTGTACAATGGCAAATATTCTTGAACTTTTAATTAAAAACCGCTTGGAGTGGTTCTTGGTGAGCAAAGGGGTTTTACCCTAAAGCCAATTCGAGTTCAGAAAAGGATTAAGCACCATGGATAGCCTTAGTCTGTTAGTTACAGATACGCAAATTGCCTTCTCTAAGAGTGAATATCTGGTTGGTGGCTTCTTAGACATCTCAGACGCCTATGATAATGTTCTACTTCCTGTACTTAGGCAAAAAACGGAGCTGAGTATACCAGTAAGGATAGTCAATTTCATTTCAACTTACTTTTCTTCTAGATCCATCATTATTAGTCTCAGAAATTGTACGACCTAGAGTCATTTGGAAGGGCATATCTCAAAGTTCACTTCTCAGTCCTTTACTTTATTTATACAATTTACACATAATGATCTAGAATTATCAGTTAATCCTTTTTGTAAAGTTTTACAATACGCACAGTAAGTTTTTGGCGTAAAATAAATGGAAATTCAGTATCCGAAAAACGAGATATCATGCTAATAAGCATTGAGATTAAAAGTTCACAAAGTTTCTCATTAGGGAAACTATTAGTATTCTCTACTAAGGCACAGCCATTTACATAAAGAAGAGGCTGAGGTTTTACTATGGATTGATGAATGGATTTATCATAGCCTAAAGTAGAGGAAGGTTTGTATGGGTGTCTTGAGTTTTTTTATAACGTAAGTTAGAAGTATCTAAAGGAATATGGGAGCTTGGACTAGGATAAGGAATTTGTGAAAGAGGATTAGGTGGATTAATCCTTGCAATATCAGCAAAGGATCTTCTTACAAAAGGAAAGCTAGCCGATGCTTCAATATATGATGTTTTTTCTACATTATTAATTTTATGACATTATTGCTCTTGCTCTTCTGCCGAGAATACTCCGGGCAAGTAGTGGACTGGCATCGTCTTGAGGTCAAACTCAAGGACTTGGACCCCAGCACATCGTCAACCTACCCGAGACAATAGCCACATTCGATGACGCAAATCGAGCAAGTCTTCGCATATCTATCACTTCCGCAGTCGCAGATTCGGAACGAACAGTGAAACTGTCGGGCGACCGACGGTTTAACTTGCCACCCGACCTGTGACTGCTAATTAGACAAAAAATGCAGCCAAACGAGCTTTCGACCGATACCGATCAGAATCGACCCGAACCCTACTTCGACGCCTTCAGAAGTCAAAGATCGAAACACCGAAAAACCGAGTGGGACACTCTATTAGAGGATTTCGAGCCATCGCACACCGCCTACTGGCGGACTATATAGATGATTCCGAAAAAGCCGAATGCCTTTCGGACAACCTAGAGCAGCAATGTACGCCATCGCGCGATCACATCGATACAGCCCACCTAACGGAGGTGGCCGCGTAATCGAAACTAGGGCTGTGCTTCCATCGGAAGGCGATACATTTAACTCAGTGACCCCCGAAGAGGTCCAAGATATTATCAAAAATTCAAAACTCAAATCCGCCCCGGGCCCAGACAATATTCGTAATAAAAATCCTTAAAGCTCTCCCTGGGCCGCTTATCTGTTTACTGGTGACCATTTACAATACACTTCTCTCCGGTTGCTCCTTTCCGGACGACTGGAAAGAAGCCATGGTTATCGGCATTAGCAAGCCGAATAAACCCACTAACAAGCCCTAAAGTTATCGTCCCATCAGCCTCCTTAGTGGGGAATCTCTACGAGTGGCTGTTACTAAGCAGGCTCAAAGAACACGTATTTTCTAACGGCCTTATGCCGGTTGAACAATTCGGCTTTCGACCTAGACATTCCTTTCTCGATCAGCTATACCGCCTAAAGGAACATATCCTGAAAGGCCTAAATCACCCGAAACACATTAGCATGGGCGCTCTTTTCTTCGACGTCGCAAAGGTATTCGACAAAGTCTGGCACAACGGCTTGATTTACAAGCTGTTCGTACTCAAAGTGCCAGACAGGCTTGTACACACCATTCGGGCCTTCCTGTCGAACCGCTCCTTTCGATACGGCGCCCTCTCAACAAGCCGCCGCCTCACGGCTGGCGTTCCACAAGGCTCCTGCCTCTCACCCTTACTTTTTACGCTCTACACGAGCGATATACCAAAAGACCCCCGCGTCAATCTCGCGCTTTTCGCCGATGACACGGCCCAACTTACCCACTTTATGACCAACCGCTCCCCTGGGAGAAAAAGGTCAAATATTTAGGAGTCACTCGCGTATGTCATTCACAGCGCATATTAATAACATCCGTAACAGAGCCGCGTTCGTCTCCAGCCGACTAAACACTTTAACTAACCAGTCAAGTAAAATGTCCTTAAGACACAAATTATTTATACAAAGCTTGCGTACGGCCAATCATGTCCTATGCATGCATGATTTTCGCCCACACGCACCCTACTCGCTTGCACAAATTGCAAATAGTGCAAAATAAGTTCATCCGCCGCGCAACCGGTGCGCAGTGGTATCAACGCAACGGCGACCTGCACAGCGATTGCGGACTCCCGAAGATTCGCGAATTTTTTAAAGACCTGACCAAACCGTTCTTCGATAGAGCCGAACATCATCCCAACCCTCTGGTGGTACGCGCAGCAAATTACCAACCCGATCCAAACGCGAACGTCAACAAGCGTCGCCCGCGAAACGTCCTCATCGACCCGGTCGAGGAAGGGGACTTAGGTACGTCGGACCCACCGTCGGGGGTCCCGCCGGATAATACTACACACACAGTTAGTGTAACAACAAACACATTAGTTCGCCCTCGCCTCCGAGCACGGCGAGACCAACACAACGCGTACACAAGGTACACCCGCGTTCCAGGGCGGTTCTCACCGCTCCCAGCCACCGATTAGCTAAAAACGACGTCGACGGCCATCGGGGTCTCGGTCGGCACCACAACCTCGATGGCTCTTAGATGACATGCCGTAGTTAAACGCACGCATGAACACATGCGCGGCCCTATCCACAGCGGAGGGTCCAAACCGGTGGGTTCTGGCTAGCCAACCGGTTCTGCGTCAGATGAAGCTTTAATAGTCTCGGGACTGAAAGCACAAACATTGGCTTATACAAGACAAGAATTATTCTTCAAGTGTCCATTCTGAAGGGATATTCCTCACTATAGATTATACCCATACGAGTGATGTTAAATGAAGGAAATGACGGTTCATAATTTCCAGCAGTGAGGGAAGGGTGTTTAATAAAAACATTAGCATCATGGCAACTTTTAAACCTCAACTGAAATTATATTTCTACCTACTTTTTTTTACGCCATTAGAGACTACATTTTTCATGTTATTTTTAACAAGAAAATGACCAAATTTTATGGGTTTTAAAGCAATTCTTAATCATAAATCAGTTGTAAGTTTGCTAATTTGGAATAAGAAGGGAGCTGAATTACTATCGGAATGTGTGGTTTTTTCTCTACATAATCAGGATGGATATAAGTGGATTGGATGGAAGGGATACTTTGGGATGCATCAATTATGGTTCGTTTTTTGCAGATGTTCAGAAACATGTGAAATCACAATTTTTCGGTTGGGTGAAATTAAAGGTTGAGGATGAAGAACATGATTGTTAGAGGGACCGGGATCAGGAGGGTCCTCATCCATTTTATTTGGAATGACTACATATATAGCAAAACAATATAAAATCTATCTAAAAAAATAACTTACGACTTTACCAACACAGATACAAATTATAAGATTAGACAAACAACACTGAACAAACAGAAAAAAAAAGGAAATTAATGAGAAAAAATTTTGGCATTTGTATCTAACACAAGAGCTAGATGCAGAGTCCATCAGGGAACTCAAAATGAAATGTTAAAATGTGGGTTGTGAGTACCATATTGAAGGCAGTTTTTATAGATAAGACATATATACTGAAAGGCAGTTTTGCTTTTTGATAGTAAAATGTATCATGTATATAGATATTACTAGGCTAAAGTTTTTATTATTGTAAGACTGATTTTCGTTAAACTATAATTTGAGAAAATATATTAACATCAAGTTTGTCATTTTTATAAATTACAACGTATAGCTTTTGTAAGAATAATATTTTTAATGAGTAGGTAACATTAAGCGCCAACTGGATAAAAATTCGAATTGAAATCGAACGAGAACGCACGTGTTGCTAGCTTAGCTAGCTAGTGCTGACGAGTGTTTCTTATTCTTACGAATAGCTGTTTTCCGAAGAATTATGCAATGTAATTTTATTTTTATTTCGGTGTTTTTTAAAATAACCCACGTTGGATGAAAGAAATCAAAAACGTGTTATTTAATGCCATAAAATAGAAATGTTGTTAAAAAGTTAGAATAACAGCTCTTTGCGTTTATTACTATTACAAAAATGAATTTAATAAATACCTTGTTTAGAGGGATTGCTAAAAGAAATGTATCGCAGAATAAGCCTCGAAAGTGTTTTAATATTTGTAGAAATTTTTCTTCAAGACAATTTTTAAATGATGTTTATAGCCGGACTAAGTTAAAATGTAAATGTAAGTAAAATTAAAGATTTATTATTTACACTACCGAATAAAATCATGATAAAGAATAAGAATTTGTAGCCATTACATTTTTCTTTCTTTCCTTTCTAGCTAAAAAGTTACCACAAGATGTTAATCCACGAGGTGTTTTTGCTTGTAATGAGTTAGACCTTTCGGAAGTCAAGGTATATGGCTTTGACTATGATTACACTCTAGCTCATTATAAACCATCCTTAGAACACCTGTTATACAATCTTGGAAGGGATATGCTCTTGGAAAAATACAAGGTATTTTTACATGTTAACAAACCATATTTTATTAGATTCTTTATATTTTAATTTGTTGTACTAAACATAGTGTTTGAATATTTTTTTTTTAGTTTATATAGAAAAGGTGTTTTATTTAAACAAATAAATTTCCATAAACTACAAAGTTTGAACAACACATTGATTTCATAAATTCTGCCCCTTTAGTACCCATCAGAAATTTCAAAATTAGAATACAAACCACACTTTGCCGTGAGAGGGCTGCACTATGACATAGAAAAGGGTTTGCTGCTCAAATTAGACTCATTTCTACAAATACAATTTGGAGCTGTATACAGAGGGCTTACTCCTGTGTCTACTGAGGAAGTGCTCAAAATATATAAAAATAGAATTATACCAATAGCATATGTGGAGGGGGACACTCGAGTACACAAAGTAAGTATGATAAAGAAACACAGTAGTGATGGATTGTGATATTATAGTATATATAATATTTATATTAAGCACTTAGTTGAGTTATGGGTGAAAGTAATAAGCTCAGTCGTTACTGTTTTAAAATAGCGTTCTTTTCAACACCTTTTCATAATATAAATTTCCTTTGGAAATTTTTTATTTTGTCAAATTTGTAATTTTATGTACTTTAAAATTTATCAACAAGAATGTATCAATATAAGATTTATTAATACCTGAAAAAAAAAAGCAGGTTCTATAAACCTACTGCAATTTATCCATACAACAAATCTATTGTATTTAGTAATCAAAAGCACTTGTAGGCAATCATTCATCATCTCCCCTATTCATTGTGTTGCAAGGCCCATATACCAATTTACAAATCTGTATACATCAGCGCATATAGTTGATATTTGTTGCCCATATCAAGAATGCACATAAAATTTACTCCCGTTTTATTAATTGTATAAGGAATTATAATTTCATTTTTTTATATTTACTTTCCAAAATACTATATGTTCCAAATAGGAAATTTCTAACTACCCTCTTTTTATGTAATAAAAAATGCTTATACATTTAAGATAATGTAACAGGCTATATATACCCCACTGCTGGGCCAAAAACTCCTCTACATAGAGCCAATAGTCGTTTGCTCCACAACTCCGCTGCAGATTGGCAGACTCATATATCTTTGATTTTTTCATAATTATTTCCAGGTTTCTTCATGATGTTTTTCTTTCCCCCTAAGCATCCAATATATCAACACTTATAATTGCAATTTAGAATTTTGTTGGGTACACTAAATGAAAAGATTCCCCTTGAACCGAGTTATCATCGCTGATTGGTTTTATTACATTAACTGTGGTAGGGCCATGCAACAGTGTTCACTGTTGCCCGAATAGGTAGGTCCAACCTGGTAATTACCATGACCTTGCAGAAGACTGGCGTAAAGTAGAAGTTTTACTCTTCTGCGTTTCGTCTGGTGATAGAGGTAGCCGGGATCCACTTTATTTAAAGGTTCCACTTAAACATCAGGTGTGAACCGCCAGCTCATTAGCCACTTTCTCAAATAAAAAATTTTTTTTTTCCTTTTGTAGGAGAATCGAGCAAAGATGGTACACTTAGCAGACCTGTTTTCTGTGCCTGAAATGGGGCTCCTTTGTAATGTGGCTGAATTTTTCATAAGAAACCACATAGATTATCATCCGGAAATCCTTTTTTTAGATGTAAAGGTAAGGAGATCCTTCAACATTAACAACTCAGTAAAGTGTCAAACTAGCCACATTATTATTTAAAAAAAATATAAATATAGCGAGCCAGATAGAATTTAATAAATACTTTGTAAATATTAATTTCAGAATTCCGTGCAAAGCTGTCATCCAATCATGCATAAGATTGTTGCTCAAAATGTGGAAGAGTACATTCGTCCCAATTCAGATTTAAAAAAATATTTCCAACTTTTGAGGGATCATGATAAAAAGTTGTTTCTTGTGACAAACAGTCCCTTTCATTTTGTGTAAGAAGTTGTTTCTTTTTTTTGCGGGGTTCTTATATAAATTAACTCTGGTCTTAACAATTTATATTGCATGGATAAATTCAAATGTAAATGTATACAAATTTTCTACAGAAAAAGCATTATTAAATATTAATTAGATATAAAAAAAACTTTTATCATATCTTGCTTTAATCGCTCTGCATGGGTGTAATGTAGAGTGTTAATATTTTTATTGCATGAATCCAGATGTTATGGAAACATTATGTTAGGCGAAAAATAATTAAATATGAAATTTTTATACATAAATTGTCGAAAAATTTTTGACTAGAGCGCGCGAGTTTTCGACAAGGTTCAAAAAAATTTCACATTTATCTTTCATATTAACTGCTGACTATCACTAAAATTAAAGTAATGACAAATAATTAAATAAAATGTTTGCACAAATACTTTTTATTTCGGCAGTAATGCGGGTATGGAAATGTTGGTCGGACAAGACTGGAGAGATTACTTCGACGTAGTTATTGTCAACGCGAACAAGCCGAAATTCTTTACGGAAGTTTCCCGACCGATTCGAGTTTTCGATAAGAATGCCAACACTCATATATGGGAGAAAGTAACGGCTTTGGAAAAAGGAATTATATATTACGAGGTGACTTCCAGAAATATTACGAAATTGTTAACTTGACATGGGATTAATTAAACCGATTCACAGTAATAAAACCATACGTCATTCAAATCATCGAAAATACTGTTACCACGATATTTGAAAAAAGCTAACGAAGCAAATTTCGCTTCTTTTATTTCTTTACCATGTCTACTTCCTTCATGTTTACGTTTCTTTAAAAAGTGAATTCGTAGTCAAATTTTCAAACGTGAACGTTCCTTATTTTAATATTAGTTAGTGCAGATATTTATATTTTTTTTTATAAATAGATTATTATTTATATTTTTTTATCCTTCCCATTTTTATATCCATTATTTGGAATAAATAAGAGATAGTTTATAAAAATAGAATTAAATGAATTGGCATTGAAGTCTAGTTTATTTTTTTTATGTGCGAGACTGGTGAACCACCCGCCACCTCATGTTAAGTGATTACCGCCGACCATGGTCATCTTTGTACAACTCGTTGATAATGCATTGCTAATAATATAAAAACTTATCCCACTTACTGTTATGATGTTAAAATTACAGCAATAATTTACTCATTGTATTGATGGGAGCGGTCATAGCTCAGTGACCGGGATACCAATGTAACCTACCAATTGTAATTTTTATGGAAAAAAGGGGCAAACGAGCAGGAGGCTCACCTGATGGTAAATGATCACCGCCGCCCTTGGATACCTGCAACACCAGAGTCTTTTAGGAAAGAGTATGCTCTATTCTTGAAGGTTCTCAGGTCGTGTACGGTTCGGAAAGACCGCCGGCGGCAGCTGGTTCCACAGAGTACAACCACTCTGGAGGCAAGAAATGCCTTGTAAACTAGCCTTATTTCTCTTATTAAATTAACTGGTAGTGAACCTGTCTACACTTCGCTTAAGCTATCGTTCGGAATGAAAAGTATATAAACACATTCTCCTGTTCAATAGCTATGTTGTGAACAAATATCAAGTCAATCCCTTGGCTACTTTTTGAGTTATGTGGACACAAACATACAGAAGCAAAACTTATATATATTTTTAATTTGAGATACTTATTTATTTATTTATTTAAAATTTATTGTTTACATCTCGACATAAGGCTGAACAAAAGGCAAACTTAATGCTAATAAGCATTCTCTTCCAGTCAACCCTGGGAGTAGAGAACTTATTACAATTTTATTTGAAGAGACATAAATTAAAAAAAAACAGAACCACATTTTAGTGTATTTGTTTTATTTAGTAATATCTCCATAAAAACCTTTAAGGGCACAGTGAAGCAACTACAGGACCTGACAGGCTGGAGTGGTCACCAAGTGTTATATTTCGGCGACCATCCGTACAGTGATCTTGCTGACGTCACCCTTGAACATGGATGGCGTACCGGCGCTATTATCAATGAACTTACGGTAACTATATGGGATATTTTTATGTGTACTGGTAATGGTAATAAAAAAACCAATGGTATTATAATAATTTAGTACCGGGAGGACCGGTTTGTTTTATAAGAAATTATGAAGGTGTGTTGAAAAAATAAGTGTGTAAATGATCGTGACACGAACCACGGCCTTCTGTTTCGGGGCCGCCCGATTACCGACCGAGCTATTCTGTGGTATTCGAATGATACTTTTCATTCCCTTAAAAGTGGGATAAAACGACATTTTCTAAAAAGGCGTGTCTCCATTTTGAACGATATTTTTTTCTAACAAGTCTAAAAGTTTCTTTTACCAATGAGTATTGTATGGTTTTGACCGCTAAAATATGACGTTGGTGATATAAGAACTTCTTGCTTCTATGAATTTTGGAATAAAAAAGATTTTTGAAAAGATTTTTATGATTAGAAGGTGATTATTTTTATATTAGAAGAATATGATTGTTACACGGTGATAGGGACACAGCAGCCTCGGTTGTTGCACGAATGGGCAAGCCCGTCCGGGTAAGTACCACGACCTCACAGAAGACCAGCCTAAAGTGGAAGTATGACAAATACTTTCGCGTTTCGTCTGGTGAGTGAGGTAGCCGGAGCCCAATTTTCAAAAGGTTGTCCACCCCTCTGTAACCCTCGGGAATGGCAGATATCCATGGGCGGCGGCATTCACTTAACATCAGGTGAACCGTCTGCTTGTTTGACAACTTTTCGCATAAAAAAAAAGAATTTTTTTTTTGCAAAGAAAGTACCGTCACAGTTCGAGGCGCTCAGGTAATAATTCGTTGATGTATATTAAATCTAATAAAAAATTGATTCCAACTGTTTCTTAAGTTTTCCTTGAATATTCGTCAAACTTTAATGACGGTCTCGTATCCTAAATCTATTCTTTTTACCAATAAGACAAAATGTAGCCAAATAAAATATCAGTTTATAATATTTTTTTTTTTTTGTTAACAGCACGAGATTAACACCTTAAACACAGAGACGTTCAAACAGAATGCCAATTGGTTACAAATGCTGACACAAATCATAGAAGACCATCAGGATTATAAAGATCCAGAAGCGCTGGAAGTTATTTCTGAGTGGATGGCTGAACGGGACCAACTCAGGTTTGTACTATCTTAGTGGAATATTTCATAAATTCATTGTTTAAAGATTTAAACAAAAATTAAACATCACATCATGCCTTTCTGCCAAAAGTAAGCTCTACACAGTAAAATGATTGATTGTTCAAAATTAAGATGTTATAAAACTCACAAAAAATAACATTACTTACAAAGAAATAATTTTATAAAGTTTCGCTATGGTACCCTCGAAATTTGGTTATTATTGTTACACCTATGTTAAATTATTTTACAGTTTAACAAAGAACAGTAAAATTAACAATGCTGATACGTTAAATTTGAATGTTTTCTTGTTACAAAACATTTCCCAACAAAAACAGTGCGTATCTGGTTCTTCTATTATTTACTATTAGAATAAATAATAATCTTGTAATTTTTTTAGTTTTAAGTTCATGTAGATCGTTCGTAGTTTTGTTTTTTTCTACATTGCTTCCCTTTGAAACTTGCTGTTGCTCTTATATCTTATACAGTATTGTTCAAATACTGATGATGTGCAATTTCTTTTACAGAAACGACACAAAGTCCGTCTTTAACAAACAGTTCGGCAGCGTTTTCCGCACTTACCACAATCCCACTTATTTCTCTCGACGTCTCTTCCGCTTCGCCGATATATACACCTCAAATATAAGAAACCTTCTGAACTACTCACTCACTCACACGTTTTACCCCCGACGAGGTGTAATGCCTCACGAATATGGATCCTATTTCGTCTAGTTAAGATAAGCATAATCATGTATTATTTTGATGTAAACCCATTTTTTAATACTTTTTTAAGATAATGTTTCTAACAGTATATGTTCCTCTGCCTCATAGTTTCCGATTAGTATTTTGCTGAGGTATTTTTGTATGTTTTAATCTCCAGTATTACGAATGATATCATTAATTTTTCGATACAATATAACAGTAACTAGTATTTATAGTTATATTGTAATGATTTTTTTTTCTCTGTTTAATTGTAATACTGTTTGCCAACATTAAGGATCTGTTGCATAGTTAGATTTAAGGTTTTATACAATAACTTAAAAATTTTCAATCATCAATTTCATATACAACTTGATATATTTTATTATGGCCTCATTGAATATTTTACTGACAATATTTGGATTGTTTTAATTAAAAATTTATTTAAGGTCGAATCAATTAGTAATAAGTCTATTCTGCCAACTATATTCTAGTCAGAAGTATTTGTATATTACCTTTTAGAAATATTTACATTTATCCATGAAAAAAACTATTTTAAATCGTGATCTTTAAAAATCAACTTCAAAAATATTTTATTAAAAAAATAATATGCTTTATGACGATATAGATTGAGATTTTTGGTTAGAATAGGCATAAACTCATCAAAGATGTAACTAAGCTTAATTTATAATTTGTGCCCTTTCTTTTCTTAAATACATAATTATGATCATTGTATTTACGACTTAATCCGCAATTGATATATTCAGTAATTGTAAATTTTCTTCTTTATAGTTTCAGTCATTCTGTAATATACTGACTGATTGATCACTAATGGCCAATCATCTGGGAATAAGCGGTCGATATGCCCATGAAGCGAATACTTTCGAAAAACGCTTCAGATTTTATCAAACATTTTTCGACAATTTATTTACTAAATTCACATTTAAATTTCATACAAAATGCAGAGTAGCAATAAGAATAAAAAATAATCGTAGAATCAAAATTATTTAATTAAATATTAGTATGTTGTACAAAATTGTTATTTGGCCTTGTTTTGCTGAAATATGCTTTTGTCTGGTCTAATGGATAATTAGTCAAATAGTACTTTATGACTTCTCGACTTTTAGATATGATCCATTTTGACAGAAGCCTAACAGTTTTCGTTATTCGTAGTTACATTTATTGGACGAAGTTGTGTATGTAAATAAAAAATACCGTTATCCCTGTTGTTTAATTTGAAAACAGTTTGCGTTATACATAATTACTGGTATTTTCAGTGTGCTTTTTTCAAAGTTTCGTGCCATATATGTGATAACCTTGTCGTCATACTATATTTATGTTCTTTAGCTTATGACGACCTGAATGGCGTTGTGGGTAGTGTACCTACCTCCTGCGCCAAGGGTGCGGGTTCGATCCCACTACTGGATAAATATTGTGTTCATCACACAGTATTAGTATTTTTCTAGTTTCTGGGTGATACTATATGTATAATATGTATTTATTTACAAAAGAAAAGTATGTTTAAGTCAGGCAGGGTGGCTTAACCTGGCCTGTGCTTTTTAACTTATATGTTAATGAGCTTGTAGAACGGCTAAGCAGCTCTCATGTTGGCTGTCACATCGATGGTACCTGTGTCAATAATATTAGTTACGCCGATGACATGGTGCTGCTTAGTCCATCGATAAATGGTTTGAGGACATTGCTGTCCGTTTGCGAGACGTATGCGACTGAACACGGCTTAAAATAGAATGCTGCAAAGTCCGTTATTCTCGTTTTTCAGTCTCCTAAGCAGAAGCCGCGTTGTGTGCCATCAATATCTCTCAACAATGTATCATTGAGTATTGTTAATAGTTTTAAGTACCTGGGTCACATTGTCACAAGCGACCTAAGGGATGATGATGATATAGACAGGGAGTGCAGGGCGTTGGCGGTGAGGAGCAATATGATTGCCCGAAGATTCGCTCGTTGTACTGCGGGTGTCAAGATTACCTTATTTAAGGCATTTTGCCACTCGTTCTACTCCAGCGGTCTTTGGGTGTCATATTCGCGCCGAACCTTCAATTCCCTGCGAGTGCAATATAACAACGCTTTCAGGATGTTGATGAGACTGTCATGGCGCTGCAGCGCGTCTAAAATGTTTGCTGACGCCCAAACTGATGGCTTCCACGCCATTATGCGTAAAACAGCGGTTTTTTTGCTGCAGCGCCTTCGTACTAGTGGCAACAGCATTCTGAAAATGATTGCTGACAGACCTGACTGTTCATTCCAGCAACACTGGGTGGCAGTTGCTATACGTCTGGCAAAATAATAATTCGCAATTTGTTAATGTTCACTAATAATACTAACCTAGATTTAAGTCACAACTTTATTTACAAATACTAACAAACTATGGACAATGTTTTTAATTTTGTGTATTGTCTGAAATAAAGATTATTATTATTAAGTGTTTATCAGTTTTCTAGTACCCATAGTACAAGCTTTGCTTAATTTGGGACTAGAGAATGTTGTGTAAAAATGTGTCCTAAATATTTAATATTTAAATATATTTTGCTAAATCGTAAGAAGAATTAGATAATATACATAAACAGCGCAATTTAAAATAAAAAAAACGACCAAGTGCGAGTCAGACTCCTGCAAGAAAGGTTCCGTACCATTATTTATAAAAACTGCAAAAAACATTGTCTGTTGTATAGGAGCATTACATAAATATTTTTTTCTGTTTTTTAGTAGATATTTGTTGTTATAGCGGCAACAGAAATACATTTCATGTGAAAATTTCAACTCTAACTATCACGGTTCATGAGATACAGCCTGGTGACGGAGAGATAGACAGCGTAGTCTCAGTTATAATATTGTCTGTAGTTATTATTTCAGTGATTTGTACATATACTTTGTACATAATAAGTAATCTCTGGGCTTACTTATCTTCAATTTCACAAAGCACTCGCCTATGCAAAGATGTCACAGCTAGAAATTTCATATTTATCTATAGGCCGTATTATTACATAATATAAACTATTACTATTGAAAAAATATATTCCAGCAATATTTTAGTTCCATCTCCAAATGCTACCGATGCTACAAGTACTAAAGCCTAATCTTCTTTTCTTATTTTTCGGTTTTCAATGAATACGCCAATGAACACTGTTAGTTATAATTCAACATATTAAATCAAGCTAAGTTGAAATTATAGTAACTCTGCATGACATAGCAGTGTGAAAAGACAATGACTTACCTATTTAATAGCTATTATTATGGCAGTTGTCTGCTGACTCACCTAAAACAAAAGCTAAAGCCTAGTCCCTGGATTGATTGTCGTTTTATGATTTAACGCCTTTATGTATGTCACAGTAAATTGTAAAATCAGGCTGCTGTCAGGTTTTCGAATGTCTATCAAATATGCAGAGGACGCTCACATTATATTAAACAGTGACTAATATACTATAGGCGCCCTCTGCATAAATCAATAGTCAGTATGTTCTAGAAGACAACAGTCAACAAATTTAAATTGTTTATGTGCTAATCTTTGCACTTAAGATTGAACATTAAAATATGTAGAAAAAGTGCGAAAAGATTGTCGCCGCTGTGGGAATCGAACCCACGTCTTCGGCATTCGCGGCCTGACGCTCTAGCCACTCCTTGTCATGGTGAGAAGTAGATGGCACGTGCTAAACCGAAAAGTGAATATAAGAAATAAATAAATTTCCTTTAAAGTTAATAAAAGTAGGAAAATATACAGCGTGTCGTTACCATCGCGACAATAAATGAACACACGCATACACACAACTAACGCTACCTGCCAATAATCATAAAAAAATATTAACGTTATACAAAATCCATAATTAAAAAAAATATATTTTTCAAACAAACTAATTAAGTAAACAAGAAACAAAATTTGTAACATTCTATACAACTCGTGCCACAGCGTCGCATTACAAGCCTCTCCTTCTAACAGTATGTTATGTCTCTTTTAAATTCATTCAACCCATTCATATACTTTTTGACCTATACAAAATGAACTTTACGTTACAGTTTTATACGTAAGGTGATCTAAAATTCTTTGTTTTGGAAAATTTAATAACTCTGTAAATATTGATGTTTAATGAATGTAAATATTTAATACAATTTTAAAAAGTTATCCCCTATATGTGTGAAAAGTTATCCCATTTAGTGTCGCGATTGTAAAGACACGCTGTATACATAAAAATTATATCTAATGTGTGCGCTTATACGAATATGTATATGAATATTATTAATCATCAACTAAATATATATGACATACATTTATAGATGAATATATATATATATATATATATATATATATATATATATATATATATATATATATATATATATAAAATAAAAATAAATAATAATAAAAACCGAACATGGGATAAGCTAAATTAAATCAATGATTTAATAGGTATTCTCGAACTAACTTTTTAAATGTACATTTATTTGGAGCTGTTTTGATCTTATCGGGAGGGCATTCCAGAGGAGTGTAGCTTGAACAGTAAAAGAAGAGTTAAAGTGTCCTGAATTATGCTGTTAGTAGTTAAAGTGGGATGCGAATCCTATGTAGGTTAATGGTACGAGGTCAGAGGCGGATTATTCTTAAGGCAAACTAGGCATGTGCCTAGGGGGCGCGAGGGTACAAAGGGGCGCGCGGGCGGAGTTGTGAAATAAAGAAAATATTTATAATATAGCATAAAATTAATTGCGCCAGTAATTAAGTCACCTAATTACACAATAAAAACTATTACTTTTGCTTAGAACCTCAATTTATAACAAAAGATAAACTTAACGGATAGAACTGACTAAAACTTGCGCAAAAAACTTCAAACAATCTTATCGATGGTACATGATCTCTGATTGAAGAAGGAAAGATACGGCAAGTCGATCGCGACTTGTGAGTATCGGAATCGGACGTCCCTGTTTCTAAAATTGCGGCGACGGGATAGCGATGCGGGGGCGGAAGCTAAGCGGTCAGGCGCGAACAAATAAGTGGAGAGTGACACGACTTTCAACTTTTTTGTCTTTGACGCGAGCTTTTTTTTTGGATAACTTATGGTTTCATTCCTTAGACTACTAAAGCTAAATGGAACGCAGAACCGGTGGGCTAGCCAGAACGGGTTTAAGGTTCCCTCAGTGACTACGGCCTCCTTCTGCCCCGTGTCACGACGGCATCCCGGGTCGAGCATGGGTACTGGCCCTGGAGAACGTTGTTTAGCGCCTGTCTGGCTCAAGCCATTATCCCACATAGGTGGAAGACAGGCAGACTCGTCCTCATCCGGAAGGAAGGGCGTCCAGCGGACTCCCTGTCTGCCTATCGGCCAATCGTGTTTCTCGACGATGTGGGCAAACTCTTCGAAAGATTGATCGATCGGTCCCCGGCAAACCGCCAGCGCAGATGCAACTTTTGTTTTTTTAGTGGGTACCCCGTAACTCCCACATACCCCTGCTACCTATCCACAAACCGGCGGAGGATCCATAAAGGATTTTTCCCACTTAAAAAAAAAGTGGCTACGGCCTCCTCATGCGTGCGTTAATTATGGCATGTCTCCTACGGGCCGTGCGATGGGTCCGATTTACTTGAGTCCCCTTCTTCGACCGGGTCGATGAGGCGTTGCGAGGGCGACGCTTTTTGACGTTGGGGAATCCCAGAGGGTTGGGATGATGTTCAGCTCTGTCGAAGAACCATTCGGTGAGATCTTTAAAATGTTCGTGAATCGTTGGGAGTCTGTAGCCACTGTGCAGGTCGACGTTGCGATGATACCACTGCGCACCGGTTGCGCGGCGGATCAACTTATTTAGTACTATTTGCAACTTGTAAATTTGGGTTTATGTGGGCGTAGGTCATGCACGCGTTGACATAATAGGTCTTACGCAGGCCTTATATTGTAATAATTTGTGCCTTAAGGGCAATTTACTTGACGCTTCTTTCAAGAAGTCAACCGAGAAGGAGCAGCTGGAGAAAAGTGTGTTGAAAATGGTCGCCAGTATGCAGAAAATCGGCCCAGGGAGAGATTTTAAGACTTTGTTATTAATTTTATCTGGGCCTTGGCAGGTTTGGGTTTTAGAGTTTCAATATTATCTTGGAACTAGTCGGGGGTCACCGATGTTAAAGGAACACCTACCGGTGGTAGCGCAGTCCTAAGTTCGATTACGCGATCCAACTCCGTTAGGTGGGCTGTATCGACGTGTTCGCGCGATGGCGCACATTGCTGCTCTAGGTTGTCATAAGGTATTCGGCTTTTTCAGAGTAACCTAGGGCTAGTGAAGCACTATTAGTTATTACTAACGGCGGTAGGGATTCACGGGGCTCTGCTTTCAAACTACGGGCCAACCACCAGTAGGCGGTGTGCGATGGCTCGATGTCTTCTAGTAGAGCGTTCCACGTGGTTTGGCGTTGTTCCGATATGCGACCTTTGACTTCAAGCTAAAAGTGTCGAAGTCGAGTTCGGTTCATTTCTGGCACTTTTATTGTTTACGTTCTCGCGGTGGTGTTATGTGTGTATTAAATTAGTCCATTAAGTTTTTGTTTATTACGTAAAGAATGAGTAAATTAAGGAAAAACCTAGTGGTGCAGAATATAAAAGGAAGGCTAAAGAGAAAAACGAAAAATATTATAATGTAATAAAACATATGAAAAATATGAGTGATGATTCTGAATCTTCTAAGGCAATCCAAAGTACGTTTACTGTCGATCCTGTGCAATATCAAATTCCTACTAGTTATAAACAACCACAAAATTTGTCCGAGCCTACGCTGCCTACTCCGTCAGCAGTAGAAGTTGTGAAGCAGTCGCAAAATAAACTGTTTATGGTAGATTGTGATCCAGTCAATTGGGATATAAATAACGAAACACAAGAATATAATTATTGCATTGAATGGTTTAATCAAGATACGGTATTTTTTCCATTGGCGTCGGGTGTGATTCGACCTAACAAAAAATTTTAGAGAAAAATCAGTCATGAAATAATCAACAAGCAGAGTTCTCTTATAGTTATCAAGGAAAAAAAATTTAAAAATTTACAATAAAAAGTTCGACTGGCGTGTAAAGCCAGAAATTATTATATAGCGAACTTCATGATTTTGGGGTTTACATGCCATGCGTACTTTACTGCTTTAATGTAGGGGCGCCGATGAGATGCTTGCCTACAGCGCTCTCAGTGTTTAATCCGCCTCTGTACGAGGTACTCTGTCAGAAGCAGAGTGAAATAACTGGAAGGTATCCCTAAGATATGTGTTTATTAATAAGGAATGTATTTATTAATAAATTATTGTCTTAAAAACTGATTATAAACCCGTTTTTGACATAGAATTTAAAAATTAAAAACAATACAATTTTATTTTTAAGAAATTTAATAAAAAATATGATTTAAACTACAAACTCTACTCTTATATTTAAAGCGAGCTATTATCCGATTAAAAGACTGGGTATGCTGTATCGATAAGGAGTACGTTATCGGATTTCAGAGTCTTAGTCTGAATAGTGAAGGGGACATTGTTGTATCCCAGTCTGCAGGGCCTGTCGGGTCTTGCCATGAAGCACAGTGTGTATAAAGCCGTCTCCAATTCAGGAGATGTCCCGACGAACATTGTAATCTCGGGCGCGTCCTTCGTCTCGCTTAAGATCGAATGCTGTTTGAGAATCAGCCCTTTCTGCAAAAGGTTACATAGTTATATTATTTTAGTATCTATTATGCAATAAATTAACTATGAGGATAACTGCACGGCATACAGTTCAACGAAAAAATGACTACTCATTTTATACAAAAAGCCTTCTTGTCTAACAAACATTAAAAAAATCTGTTTATTTCGTCAATTGAAAATGAAGCCGAGGTCTATGTGGTCTATAAATGGAAGGCATTTTCCAAGCACTTAAACCTGTGCCTTATATGTGAAGATATCTAATAAAACTTTAACAACAAAATTTTCTTCGATATTATACTCGGATAGAAAGTCTGAACCGACAAAGAAAATACTATATTGAGCAAGCTACCTACCTCGTCTTTAATTTGTAGAGACAGATACAGCTAAAACAATCCACGGTTAATTGAGCTTATTCGAGGGAAGTAATCAGTACCTAAGTAATCACTAAAACAAGAGATGTTCCTCACGCCGTCAGGTATATGAGATGACTTTTATCGACGTAAGACATGACCAAATTAAAATTTTGACCGAGTATTTATTGGCTCACCACCACTGCCTTAAGATTTTTTTTAATTTAGAGGCTTTTAATTTCAGCAAATTGGTAATACTTACTCCAGATAAATCGAGTTTATCAATATATCCCAGGTAGTTGGCTTTGCGATCAAGTTCTCTCTTTGCGAAAAATAACCAGCTGTGAAGACCTGTAAATAATTATTTGATTGCTTTACGCTTATATTTGATTGAAGATGAATCACAGAATTAGTTGCGAATATATTGGATTATTTCAACCTTAAATTTAAACAAAAGTAAACACAAGCAAACGCCGCTTACTTACGATATTTATTTATGTAAATAAATTTTAAAATGTTGTCTTCGCTTACCAAGAACATCATTTGACTTCAATTCCGCCATAAAAATATTCTCGAAAGCGCAACTGCATTTGCAGAGAGGCCAGTCCAATGGCGTGCGTACTTTGTGAACCAGATCTTCTTTAATAGCTCCACTTGTTCATTGTATTCATTTAGTTGCGTAAGTCCTAAAATATATTCCTAATGAGTATTTATTACTGTGAAGTTTTAAATAATGTGGTTTAATACTTGTGGTTGGGCCACGATACAGTCTTCGCTGTTGCACGAATAGGCAGGTACAGGGAAGTACCACGACCTCACAGAAAAGTGGCGTGAAGTGGAAATACGTCTGGTGAGTGATGTCTGGAGTCCACTTTATTAAAAGGTGGCTACGCATCTGTAATCTATCTGGTATTTTTTCCATTGGCGTCGGGTGTGATTCGACCTAACAAAAAATTTTAGAGAAAAATCAGTCATGAAATAATCAACAAGCAGAGTTCTCTTATAGTTTTCAAGGAAAAAAAATTTTAAAATTTACAATAAAAAGTTCGACTGGCGTGTAAAGCCAGAAATTATTATATAGCGAACTTCATGATTTTGGGGTTTACATGCCATGCGTACTTTACTGCTTTAATGTAGGGGCGCCGATGAGATGCTTGCCTACAGCGCTCTCAGTGTTAATCCGCCTCTGTACGAGGTACTCTGTCAGAAGCAGAGTGAAATAACTGGAAGGTATCCCTAAGATATGTGTTTATTAATAAGGAATGTGTTTATTAATAAATTATTGTCTTAAAAACTGATTATAAACCCGTTTTTGACATAGAATTTAAAAATTAAAAACAATACAATTTTATTTTTAAGAAATTTAATAAAAAATATGATTTAAAACTACAAACTCTACTCTTATATTTAAAGCGAGCTATTATCCGATTAAAAGACTGGGTATGCTGTATCGATAAGGAGTACGTTATCGGATTTCAGAGTCTTAGTCTGAATAGTGAAGGGGACATTGTTGTATCCCAGTCTGCAGGGCCTGTCGGGTCTTGCCATGAAGCACAGTGTGTATAAAGCCGTCTCCAATTCAGGAGATGTCCCGACGAACATTGTAATCTCGGGCGCGTCCTTCGTCTCGCTTAAGATCGAATGCTGTTTGAGAATCAGCCCTTTCTGCAAAAGGTTACATAGTTATATTATTTTAGTATCTATTATGCAATAAATTAACTATGAGGATAACTGCACGGCATACAGTTCAACGAAAAAATGACTACTCATTTTATACAAAAAGCCTTCTTGTCTAACAAACATTAAAAAAATCTGTTTATTTCGTCAATTGAAAATGAAGCCGAGGTCTATGTGGTCTATAAATGGAAGGCATTTTCCAAGCACTTAAACCTGTGCCTTATATGTGAAGATATCTAATAAAACTTTAACAACAAAATTTTCTTCGATATTATACTCGGATAGAAAGTCTGAACCGACAAAGAAAATACTATATTGAGCAAGCTACCTACCTCGTCTTTAATTTGTAGAGACAGATACAGCTAAAACAATCCACGGTTAATTGAGCTTATTCGAGGGAAGTAATCAGTACCTAAGTAATCACTAAAACAAGAGATGTTCCTCACGCCGTCAGGTATATGAGATGACTTTTATCGACGTAAGACATGACCAAATTAAATTTTGACCGAGTATTTATTGGCTCACCACCACTGCCTTAAGATTTTTTTTAATTTAGAGGCTTTTAATTTCAGCAAATTGGTAATACTTACTCCAGATAAATCGAGTTTATCAATATATCCCAGGTAGTTGGCTTTGCGATCAAGTTCTCTCTTTGCGAAAAATAACCAGCTGTGAAGACCTGTAAATAATTATTTGATTGCTTTACGCTTATATTTGATTGAAGATGAATCACAGAATTAGTTGCGAATATATTGGATTATTTCAACCTTAAATTTAAACAAAAGTAAACACAAGCAAACGCCGCTTACTTACGATATTTATTTATGTAAATAAATTTTAAAATGTTGTCTTCGCTTACCAAGAACATCATTTGACTTCAATTCCGCCATAAAAATATTCTCGAAAGCGCAACTGCATTTGCAGAGGCCAGTCCAATGGCGTGCGTACTTTGTGAACCAGATCTTCTTTAATAGCTCCACTTGTTCATTGTATTCATTTAGTTGCGTAAGTCCTAAAATATATTCCTAATGAGTATTTATTACTGTGAAGTTTTAAATAATGTGGTTTAATACTTGTGGTTGGGCCACGATACAGTCTTCGCTGTTGCACGAATAGGCAGGTACAGGGAAGTACCACGACCTCACAGAAAAGTGGCGTGAAGTGGAAATACGTCTGGTGAGTGATGTCTGGAGTCCACTTTATTAAAAGGTGGCTACGCATCTGGATTACAGAATCCTACGGGTGTTGCAGGTGTCGAGGGGCAGCGTTCATCACTTACCATCAGGTGAACCGCCAACTCGTTTGCCACCTACTCACAAAAATATGTAACTTATAACTTTACAATGTACATATTTTTTATAATTCATCACATAGTACACTTCTGAAGTCCCATATTTTTCACTAATCAGAGCAAATAAAAATAATTAACATTAATGCAATTTTGTATGTAATGTGCATAGTGTTTATATAAATAAAAAAAATAGTTTGAAGCTTCTACTTTTAATTTAGCCTTAGTCTAGACTTTTTTGGATCCTCATTTTTAAAAAGACAAGTACGAAAAATCTGTATCCAACTATCACGACCTCACAGAAGACCGGTAAGACCGGAAGTATTGCACATTTACGTTTGGTCTGGTGAGTAAGGTAACCGGAACCCACATTTTTAAAAACACATCTGCAAACTCGACAGGTGTTTAATGTCCATGGGCAGCGAAATGACTAACCATAAGATTAACCACCTTATCGCTTGTTTCCTTAGCACTTAAAAACTATATTAAAAAAATTTACGTAAATTTACGTATTCTTTTATTTATGACTTTAAAACGTACCCTTGTTAACCAAGAAAGCCATCAAGCTTCTGATGGGGCCTGTAGCCAAGATAGTATTGATATACGTCGTCTGTTCTGACTCCTCCTGCAAAAATTTAATACCAAGTTTGTTATCTTTAATGGTTAACAAATTTATTAGCCTTAATTCGTGTACTTATGCCGTATTTAGAAAAGTTTCCTTAGTCTTCTAGGACATGCGGAATATTTAGCTGACATTTATGAGTATAATCATCATATCAACCGTACGACGTCCACTGTTGAACATAGGCCTCCCCCATTCACTTCCACTTCGACTGGTCGTTAGCGGCCTGCATCCAACGCGTCCCTGCGATCTTGGCTAGGTCGTCCGTCCACCTTGTGGGAGGCCTTCCTACGCTGCGTTTGCCGTCACGTGGTTTCCACTCGAGAAACTTTTTGCCCCAACGGCCATCGGTTCGGCCTTTTATGAGTATATGACAATAATATCGTACGATTCTGTATTGATTTCATGGATTGTAAAATTTTATGCGTGAGAGTTAGCTCACAGCGCAATATGGCATTTGCTTAGTTTAGTTACTAATTAGGTACTAATTATTTAATAATTGAATAATATTTACTATATTAAATACTAACTTATTCACATGTTATCTAATAACCCTAGTCGACATTGTGCTAAGAACGCTAGCTGCGTTTCTTGCTATTATGCTTAATCTTTGACCGAGAAAAGAACTAGCCTTCTTGTCTCCAGCCGCAGTGGTATGTCATACCATACATATATTTTTCAATAATTATGATGTGTGCGGACCCCACGGACCTAAGTAATCAACAGGAAATGACACAGAATCCTAATATGAACAAAGAGATTCATATTTGAGCCATTTATTTACTTTAGCTGTCTATTATTATTATTCTATTATTGTTTATTAAGTAATTTAATAATTATAACTTTGTATATTTAACCTGTTTCATTTAACGGTGTTAGGGCCACGCAGCAGCCTTGGTTGTTGTACGAACGGGCAGGCTCGTCTTGGTAAGTACCAGACCTCACAGAAGACCGGCGTAAAGTGGATGTATAATACTTTCCCGTTGCGTCTAGGGAGTGAGGTAGCCCAAACCCAATTTCCAAAAAGGTTGTCAACGCATCTGCAAACCCTCGGGTGTACCAGATGTCCATGGTCGGCAGTATTCACTTAACATCAGGCGAACCGTCTGCTCGTTACCGGCAAATTTTCACATAACACGTATCTAATAGTAATATTTACAATTACATATTATGTATATAAGTGTAAACCTAGTAGAATTTTTCAATTTTATCGTTTTCGTTACCTTTAAATGAATCACTAGCGCGGGCTAAGTAAATGTCAGTTGAAGACATTTTCCGCCATGATGTCATTTTTTGTGACATTCGATACACTTATTCCGTAATAACCAGCGGTACACATTTCGTCGAGTAACGAATAACAACGGAACTTCAATTCATTATGTATTTTATCTCATTGTGAGAAGATATGCTTACGTTGGGGGTGACGAACTCTGGTCTAATAACATTCTTATGATAGTTGTCGAAGAGAGCAACGAATGGTCGAATCGTCGGTCCATTCCATACGTTTTCTGGTACGTCAAGGAGACTGAAAAAGAGATAAGACAATTTTAAGCCGTATACATGAAATATCTAAAATGAATGTAATAAATCATTATAGTCTCTCTTAATAAATAAGGAATTATAGATTTGGCCTATATTTTCATTCTTTCACATATGAAACTAATTAAAAGAAAACGTCTGTGCTGCGCATTGTCCGTCATTTGCCATATATGTATGTTTTTAATATTTGGAGTAGGAGTCTGTCTTTGGAGACCTGTATCCAGCAGTGGACTAAAACAGGCTGTAATGACGATGATGAATTATTTAAACAAAAACATAAATTCTACGGTTTTTGGTTTAGTTCATTTCGAAATAGTTAGAGGAATTAAGACATCTACATATGTATCTAATATGCTGGCTGTACTCACTTGGATTGCGCCTCGTCGTTTTTGGACATTGGGCTCGTCTTGCCTTGCAGATTGACCTTGATATAGTTCAATGCGTTGTTGATGTCGGCGTTGAACATCTCCTCGCTGAGTTTCAATATGTCCTCGTCGGTGGTCGAGTCTTGTACTTGACGCAACATGTCCTCGTAGCTTTTCTTCTTCGCATAGTCCACAACGCCGCCGACCACGGTGCCTATTTGCTGGATAGTATTGGTCGCCGTATTACCTTGCTGGCCCGTTACCGAGTTGGAAATCAAGTTGGGCAGAATGTTGGAGAAGATTTGGCCGGCGGCATGGGCCAGGTCGTCGGCCCGGCACGCAGCCAGACAAAGCAGCAGTGCCAACGTAAGCCTCATTGTCCTATGGTGTTTTGTACGTTTGTTCTAGCGCGATTGCGGCGCACTAGTGATCTCTGAGCCCGCGCCCGGTTGCGATACTGCCCGACCTCTGGGTGACGTCACCTGCAAGTGTCTATACACGTATAGATACGTCAGTTCGTTTAGATTCAGCACGCGGATTTCCAGTTTTAGCGGCGATGATTGTTCGGAATAATCAATTCACGGTAGTACCTTGATAAACAAAAATGGCCTTGTCTGCTTGTTAAGGAACGTAATGTATGTGCACTAGTGCCATGTACACGTATGGGAATAGATTTGAAGCATATCGTTCAGCGTATGTAATCGTAGTTTATAATTAACTGCACCTGTTGCACACGTGTTGCTGTGATAATAACTGATTCACGTGCTAAGTTACAGTTAATATAACAATAACGGTAAAGTTTTTTGATGCAACCGATTATTTACACGTTTATCAAAAATATTCTGAATGCCCCCATAAATTTAGAAAAACAGTATTGATGAATTAAAAAAGAAAGTTAAGTAAGGAGACATCATCAGAAGCGTACGGTCGCAGGCGAACGCACGCGTGTAATGCAAAACTTGCGTGTGCAGATGCCTGCCGGGAAAATCGTATTTTACTCCATGTTTAATACATTGGGACTATCGATTAGCAGATTTAGTGTAGCAGAATAAGTACTGTTCTTAGATATTGGAATACATATTTGGTTAAAATAAAAATAAAAACTTAAAATGGTTCCAGTCTGATCATTTTTTATTTTCATCTTGTTAATATATGAATTTTTATCTTGTTCAGCAAAACATTTCCTAGCATGAAATTGTGATTGATGCTTAATAAACCATTGATTCCTTAGATACGGGTTTAATTCTTAACTCAGTGACTTTATGTGCCATGGTTGTTAACTATCATTAAATTAATTTTTACATTATTTTCTGTTTTTTAAAATCATGATTTTAATTGACATTTACTTAAATGTAGGTACCTTTATTTCTACATAAATTATTTTCTACGAAATCCATGTTTAATATAATGTTGTTTATAAGAAACAATCTCTGAAGCCCGCAGGCCGCAACACAAGTTATCATACGAGGTCACCAAGCAAAGGTCAAGCAGATCTCAGACTAAGATTCGATTACGTGACTCTCACAGCGAACAAAATCGAATCACAAGTTTGCCGAAAGCGTTTGCCAGGCGGTTTCAGACTAGTCTGTCTTCAACTGTACATAGAATTGATCGCAAACATAGCTTGAACATCATGAAGACCTGCGCAATCGTTTTATTATTTATCTTTTGTTATTCCGAATGTAAGTAGCATGATTTTTTTTTATTGTGATAACAATTTAGTTCGAGTATATTTAAATCAATAACTAAGTTTTTTTTTTTCCAAAACAAATGCTACTAGATTACCGAAATTTATTTGTGTAGTTAACAATCTATTATTGATGTAAATTAGTTTTAAAATATTCATATAATTTGGTCGTAATAATCAAATACAATTAGAATTCAGTGTCGCTTAAAAAATCATTAATTGAATTTTTACATTCACATTCCACAAATTTCATGTTCCATTGTTTTAGGTTATAATTTTTTCTTTTTATTTTAGTTCCAATATTTTATACAGGAACTGTATCTCTAAATCACATACTTAGTTCTATGTTTATTTAATGAGTGGAATCATATCACATTTGTTACATTATGTTTCGTTTATCACATTTTCAAAATTATACAACAACTTATATCATCTTTGCAATTTATATTATCTTTGCAATTTAATCTGCGCCTGTAACAAATCAAACCAGAACTGCATACAAATCTTAACTATTGCTAATTCTCTCTTATTTTATTTTTTGTAAATACAGAGATTTCTTCTTTTATTGTTTAATAATATTATATAAGTATGGGATATTTCGTACATGATTATAGATAATATTAGATTCATTGGCTCTTTTGAATTTGTTGTAAAATAACATGAAAAGACTTAATCTAAAAATGTCCCCTAGAATTAGCCCAGTTATAAACAGTAGATGTATTTTTTATTTTTTATCACCTGATATTAAGTGATATCAACCGCTCATGGACATTTGCAACACCTGTGGGGTTACAAATGCGCTGCCACCTTTTAAGAACGTGGGCTCCGGCTACTCAGACGGCTCGCCAAACGAAATAGAGTATTTCCGTTCTTCTTTCTCTGAGGGTGTGTTCGTTTCTCGCTTCTCGTAATTCCCCGCACGAGCCTGTCCGTTGTTGCAACAGGAAAGTCTGCTGAGGTTTAATATATGTTTCAATAAAAATTTATATATTTTCGCAGGTCGTAAGGTGTACGCACCGATCGACAAGAATGTCAACCTTGCATTTATCAATATGGAGGCGGGTGGTGTTCCTGCCAACAAACCAGCCAACGCCCGCCCGGCGCCAGTGGCTTCATCGGCAACCACCTTGCCTCCGAAAATTGTGCCTACGCTAACTCCTGCACCCACTACCAGCAAAGCCGCGCCGGCGACCACACCCACGCAACCGACTCCTCTGCCAAAGCAGATAAAACCGGTGCCCGTGAATCCGTCACCAGCTGCGAATCCTATCACCACCCCAGGTCCTGGCAGCGTGAAGCAACTCATTACATTCTACGACAGTCAGGGCAAAGCAAGCCTAATAAGGCCCTACAGCTACAGTCAAGCAGTGAAGCAAGGTTAGATCTGGGGTACAGATAACCAAGTAATAAAAGGCTTATTATAAACAAATAAATTTAAACGACTATTTCATAGTCTACAAACTATTTTCTTATTATATATGGTCTCAATAAATTAACTAAATATCTTAAAAAATGTGATTTTATTTTTAAAGTTAATAACTTTTTTCAACAATTGTTTGCATTTGTCACTTTAAAGTCATTAATTGTAAGTTTTATAATTGTTAATAACCATGAATGCGACACTGCGTATACAGCGTGTCGTTACCATCGCGACAATAAATAGACACACGTCTAACGCTACTTACCAATACACATAAAAAAATATTAACGTTTAACAAAATCCATAATTAAAAAAAATATTTTTCAAACAAACTAATTAGGTAAAAAAGAAACAAAATTTGTAACACCTATACAACTCGCGCCACAGCGTCGCATTACATGCCTCTCCTTCTAACAGTATGTTTTGTCTCTTTTAAAGTAATTCAACCCATTCATATGCTTTGTAACCTTTACAAATGAACTTTACGTTACAGTTTTATACGTAAAGGTGTTCTAAAATTCTTTGTTTTGAAAAATTTAATAACTCTGTAAATATTGATGTTTAAAGAATGTAAAAGTTTAATACAATTTTAAAAAGTTATCCCCTATATGTGTGTTCATTTATTGTCGCGATTGTAAAGACACGCTGTATATGAAACTTAACATGTCATAGGTCATTATGTATTTCGTTTTGGATGTATTTACTTGTTATCTACTGGTATCTATGTATACAGTATACATTCATTTGGACTTTGGCACCTATCGAAATATTACGATCACCACCTGTAGTGTGCAAAATTGAATTTATTGTCTTTTAAATCAAGTTATTCGTATCTTACTATAAACCTTATTTACTTGACCGTCTCAACTCCGAAATTTGGTTCTAATAACGATATTAATATTTTTCCGGTCTTTCTATAAAGATTGTAATAAATGGAGTCTCTGAAAAACTAAAATCATATCTAAGCCCTCACGCTTTTTTAAATGTTTACATCAGGGGCTAAGAAGCTACAACATAAAACAGTTTCGTATTGCTTACATACAATCTCATTCTCTTTTTAACGCTAATACTCTATTCGACTTAAAAGGATATTGTCCAATAGATCAATTGCACTTGAAATCGTTCTTCCCGTCAGTGAAAGTTAGACGAGAATGTTGTTTTGCGAGGGTTCGTACGCAATCCGGCACGCTTTTACTGTTAGTACTTTAAGTATCTGCATTAGAGTAAAGACGATGACTATTAGAATGCAACAATTCAAGATCTTTATTAAAATTTGCGTCAGAAATTTGCCCTTTGAAAAAAATCAAGAAGGAATTATTATAGGTACGGCGTGAGTTCAAAAATGTATGCCAAAAGTTTTAAGATATCGCCGCACTAAAAAAATTAAGAATCTCTTTGGAAAATTATGGAGCAAATGAACAATGGGAAAGACAAAACTGGGCGCGTTACCATTTAGATGTAGTATGATGCAGATTCGAGTCCCACTGCGCCTAAAGTATTTGTTCATTTATCAACATAAATTCACGTTTTAAGTTTCATTGTTGTAGAGAATAGCAAACAAAAAGAAAATTAATCATAAATGTGTGTAACTTTTGCTTTATCACATATGTAAAAAATGGGCAAACGAGCAAGCGGGTCAACTGATTGTAAGCGATCACCGCCGCCATGGACACTTGCAAGATCGGTTGAGGCACAATTGCCGGCATTCACGTAGGAATAAGCTCTCTTCATGTTCCCTTTCTTCATTTATTAAGTCGTCATAGTGGTGCGGTGCTATTCGGTCCGCGATTCCTGCACGCGAACACAACAATAATCCATTAATAATTTAGTTCTGCATACAAATGAAGGAGTAGATTATTACTGGATTATTGTTGTGGGATATAATAGAAAGAAATGGTGAGGGTTCCTATACCAATAACATTGAAGGAAAACTGGTGCTCTGTTTTACAGCTACGTATTTTACATCGACACACTGAACTTCATTTATAGAAGGACTTTGTAGAAGTAAAACATATACATATAGGATTTTTACGTTTGTTAACTATAAAATAAATCAAAAGTAAGTATAACGCGCCAAAAAAGCGTATAAAAATAAACAGCTTTCAGGAATAAATTCCGTTGCTGAAATAAAATCGAACAAAATTGGCGTGAGACATCAACAATAACTATGAAAGGTTTATCAATGTGTAACTTCCATAAATTACCTAGAAGACGCGCATTTCATTTCAGCTAAATACGATCTCGTCGAAAACGTCAATTTTAATTTTGTTATTGTGAAAATTAACGCTCCTTACTTACCTTCTGCAAATAATAAAAAGAGAATGCGATTGGCGCAATGAAATTAGGCACAGATGAAGTCATTGTGGTTAGCTGTTATTATTGTTATGTTCTGGTATAAGGATATTCTTTTTCTAGAATGGCACTTTAAAACTGGAATAAGTAAGTCTTCCTTGGCTGTCAAGACAATTAAACAAGTCGAGTACATCACCAATCGAGTACTCATGACGATATGATGAATAGAAGAAATTAACTGATAAACTAATACAAAATATTTACTAGTACTAACCTAAAACTAAAAACCTTAAAAAATATAATATAATAACTAAAATATATTATTAAATATAGTACCTTTAGGCAAGGTTCAAAAGATAGAGCAGATAAAGCAGCGTTCCCCCTTTGAATAGCTAGACTTAAAAATAATTAAAAGTCATTTTAACAGTTGTTTACTATTCGGCTTTTATTTGTTTCGGGGAGAAAGTATTCAAAAGATATCAACAAAACTCAAATGTACACCACGCTAGTCAATATATACACCGAGTTTCGGTACGGTGAATGAACGATTAAAGATTGGGGCCTAAATGTTATTACTCCACAATAATAACAATATGATTGATAATTTTAACTCAATGGTAGAAATAGAAATTTAGTTGATACACTTAATCATATAATAAAATGAAAATTAATATTAACACCGTGAAATATATAAAGCAAAAATTACAAAATCACGTTACGCTTTCGCTATGACGCGCTCTGTCTCGAGTCTTAAAGAATGCATAGTACACTTCCGCAAGTTAATTATACACCAAGTTCGTGTCGTGCAATTTCTTTTTCATTTTAATAAAGAAAGTAAAACTTCTAATGCTCAATCTCTTTGTACTAGCTTGCCATTCGGTATTCTGTTAATTAACGTTTATAAATATATAATTGTACACAATTTTAGTTAGACTAGAGGATTAATAAAGTGTAGCTGCCTTTAAAGTTAGAACAACATATAAATACTACAAGAAATACTATAAGAGCTCTAACTAGGAATAACTAGTAATAATAATGCATAATTTTTAAAAAATATTAGCATGCTGAACCCCTTCTCTGTGTAAACTATAAGTGTGGGAAATTTCATACCCATCCGTCCGCTTAATTTTCGTAAAAAGGGGTACAAAGTTTTTGCTTCGTGTATAAATATATAGATCACGCCCTGTACGTAACAGAAATTCTTTTGAAAGCGCACGGTGATGGGAATGTTTTATTGAAACCTCGACCGAGACAACCAATTTTTTGTATTAAATTTAAGAAAATTGTACGCTTGAGAGGTATCTTGATTCAGTGTACATTTTTTCTTAACGGAATTTATTTACTCCTACATCGTATAACGCAGTGAGGTACTATTCTGAGATGAGTACTTATACTGTGCCTTTGTTTTTTATTAGTGATTTCAATCTATGAATGTGTGCTATTATAACATACATTAGTAATACAGTGACGTCTGTCCGAGAGCCTTAAATGTGAAATGTGCTACTTTCACTTTCGTCACAATGAGTCAGTCCAAAGGTTACGTCAGACAGGACCCTCTATAGAGTGTCTGTAACTAATTGTGCAACCGTTCGCATTTTTAGCACACAATAACAAACGTGAGTCATTAGTATTACGTTGTTACATTTGATAATTCCTCAATAGGTTAACAGTAGAGGGTCTAACACTATGATCTGAATATTGATAATGAATTGCCTAATTTCGTTCTGGATTAACTCTAGCATTACGCTGTAATACGGTCTTTGTCTCGTCTTGTGCACCATGGATGTTGTAATATGTTCGAAAGAAGGGAGAGCTGAAATCTAAAGTTAAAAGCGATAAAATCCTTAAGCAGTTTTATTAATATATAAAGATTAGTTATAAAAACACGATTGCCATAAAACGAAAAGAAAGGTTCGATTGTCATTTATAATTGTTGAAACAATCAAGCTTTTCTAGAAAGAAAATTTTAAATAAAGGTTTTAGAGTAATAGACTCCTGTGTATTTTATGAAATTCATACTTATGAAATTATTTTAAATAATTTTATTTCATTGTGTCTTATTTATGTTCCTGAAATTGGTTTACTTTATTGGGTGTTTTTTCTTTGGATTCGTTAAAAAGTTTGAAAAATGTACAATACCTACGAACGTAGATTTAGATATTGTAGAGAAGCCACTGGTTAAATTCATCTTGATAACGATTTTTACCATCGACTCAAATCACTCTCTTACACTTTAACTGCCCCTATGCAAATATTATGTGGATCCCTTGCTTTCTTACTACTTAAAAGGAGTACTAACTAACAGATACTTTTACATTACGAATAGTTATGAAGATCATACATTTTTTTTAATTTTAGTTGTATATTTCTATTAAACTACGTAAATACTACGTCTGGTTCTTCGTTTGCTTTCTTAAGTATGCATCAAATAAATAAGCATCAAAATTAATCTCGAAACAACTTTGTGATTTAATACGTTTCGTTTTATTCAAAAATAAATATCCTTACTTGTTAAATTAACATTCAAATACTAGTATATATTTTAACTCCAGAAACTTGAAATGGAATGTATATTCTTACGAATTTCGAGCAGTAACATCTAACTGTTTATCATCGCGTTGCTTATTTATTTCGGTGCCTAAATGTATTCGTCAGTAAGTAGGCAAT